AACACACTGGGGGACTTTTTATTGTGGTAGAGGATTATACTTAACACACTGGAGGACTTTTTCTTGTGGTAGAGGATCATACTTAACACACTGGGGGACTTTTTATTGTGGTAGAGGATTATACTTAACACACTGGAGGACTTTTTCTTGTGGTAGAGGATCATACTTAACACACTGGGGACTTTTTCTTGTGGTGGAAGATCATATACTATGTCCACATGAGAAGATTTGGCCTGTTGAACACTGTTCTGTTTCTGTAAACATCACATATAGCAAAAGTTCATCCCAATAAATTCTGTTGAGATTAACAAAGAAAATGTTTTTAAAACTCTGTATCAATAAAGCAAGTATAAAACATATGCCCACATGTAATACTAAATCTTCTTGTTTTCATTATTCTGTAGAAGTAAAAAATTTCCTAGGTCAGACAAGCATTAATTCATTACAACCCGGAGCTACAGAGATGCTAAGTAGTATACTGTATGCTGACAAATGTTGTTGTGTTGTATACTGTACACTGCCAGATTGTGTTTTCACTATCTTGTAGATGGTAATACCTAAACCAGTGTTGTCTGAGAAAAAGCCACAATTCAAGTTCACAAGACTTCAGTTGAGGAGAGCAAGTTGTGGCAGAGGTACCACTACATATCTGGACATGGTTACTGCAGCACTGACAGTATACAGTGGTCAATCCAAGGGAGTTTCTAAGCAGCAAATAGAAAACTTTCTGAAAAGTAATTACAGAGTCTCCTCCAACATAATAAGCTTCAAGTCCTCTCTGAAAAAATCTCTACTACAAGGGATGAGTAAAGGAGTCTTCCAAAAAATATCTGGTCCAAAGACTGGTACCAGTGGAAGTTACTGTCTCTCCCATCATTCTGTATAATAACTGGTTTACATGAACAAAAGTTAAAACATTATTGTTATAAATAATTGTTAATACATTTTAATCTTTAACAGAAAACATTTTCATTAAGACATTTGCTAAGAATGTTTTAAATCTGAAGAAAAAAACATTGAATTATAATTAATATAAGAAATAAGATATTTTTATCACATAAAAAGCTATGTATAAATATTGCTACTTATTGCAAACTGCATTAGTAGTTTTATCATAATGAACATTAATGTCTAGTTGTGGTATTTCTCCAACTACATATTGCTTCAAATCAAATGTTAATATAATAGTCTTAACTCACCACTATTACTATGTAACTAAGGAGATAATGGTTATAATAACAAACAAACCAGTTTATCATGAAAACAGTTAAAATATTCTAAATATGGAAAAAAGTCAGTTTAATTGTGAGAACAACATCAGGTTTTATAAAATAATATAAAAAATTTATTTAAATAAACAAATGATGGAAGTGAAAGGACTGGGGTAGGTTGATGTTTGATTTAAATATCAATGAATGAAAAGTTTTAGGTAATGTTTTATAATTTTCACTTATTATCTTGATTACTAGAGATACGATATTTTATTTCTTGTTTTATATGAAGCATAAAAAGTATGTGACAGTATATTTATTTTGGGAATATTATGTTTTGAGCTAGAGCTCTTTGTTAATTTAATTGAAGAATTTATTCTTTAATTTGTTGCCATTATGGATAGATTTATTTACTTTTTTACGTTCCTGCAATTCTGTCGTTTGACAAACAATGTTTTTAACAATCAAGAACATTTCTATCTTTACCAAGTTTGTATTTTGTCTAGAGTTTAGTTGATGAAATAAATCTTTCAACTATTTCTATAACATGTTTCTTGTGACTACTCCTCTTATTTCAGAATGTGTATTAAACTGGAAACTCTCAACACTATAGGTAAATAATTTAAGGTCAAGTTACTTTACTGTCTACAAAACTCACACAGATGTAAGGAACTAAACCAACTTTCAAGACTGCAAGTTTATACATTCCAAGCATGTTTTTATATGAATACAAGCAGAAACAAATAAAGTATAACTGGACTGTACCAGTCATATGGCAGCAAGTAACTGATGTGTATTCTGGTATCAGTTGCTATTATCCATGACATGGACACTGTGACATGTTTTTTTAAGTTAATAAGTTCGATTGGGGTTCAATGCAGAGAGAAAATTTCAAACCAAACATTCTTGGAAATTAAAAATATGAAAGGGTTTCCTTTTACTATTTACTGAACATAGCATATAAAAACTTTAAAGCTTATTAATACACAAATAAGAATTACCTTAATATTCTCTACAGCAGTGTTTTTCCAACTATGGTCAGCGAGGGTATTCCAGAGGATCTGCCAATCATGTCCAAAATTTCATAAACATATTTAAAAACAATATGATTTACAGGATAAACAATATTCATAAAATTAAGTTTATAGGTATTAAATGTACATGTAAATCCACATAAGAAGTAGCATGAACAATAATATGTTGAAGTACCTCTTGAAAAGGTTTTTCTTGACATATTAGGTCGTCAAGAAATTAATATCGCGTTTTGTAACACTTTCATTAACTACCACAAAAACATACATCACGTATAATAGTTAAACGAACCGCCTAAACGTCACGTTAGCGTAGCCTATATAATGT